TTGGGACTGATATAAAGTGATCGGTATCTGCCACTGAAAACTCTCATCAAAATTACTGAATGCTAATCCCCACCCTTAAGGAACACACTTCACAGAAGATTAAGCTTTCTGAAGTCTAAATGTACAATCTAGTTCAAAAAAAAGAAAAGACCCAGTGTGAATTCACTGCCTATATGTATTCAGCACTTTCGTGACCTGTAACTATGCTAGAGTAAACTGAAACCTCTCCCATAATCACTTTTTCAGCCCCTGAGGAGGGAGGGGAGGAATGCCGCCTGTCAGGTCCTTACCAAGGAGTATTTGCAACATCAAATATTTCAAGAAGAGGCTTCTAAGCCAATTTGTTGGAAAACTCTGAGGAATATCCAAAATATTTCTGAAGCTGCCCATGTAAGCCTCTACAAGTTGAGCCCTTCTCAGAAAGCACAGTAGAAAATACACAGCATACCCTTACTCGGAGTTGCAACAATGGCAAATGCCATAGCTGAGCACTGCGGTGAGACCACAACACAAGGAAAGGGGAAGAAAGAATTCATCTGTGGAAACCTTCACTCAAATGTATCTTCACAGGTCAGATGAGGCCAGGAGCCTGTTTTTCTAAAGAAAAACCAGAACCAAAGCTGAACACTGTACACCTGCGGGGCTGGGACAAGTTCTACTGCTGTTTCCAAGCCCCACCCTCTGCAGGTGAAGGTCTGCCAGAGATAATGTACTTTGAGTCCCACCAAGAGTTACTCTCTAGGCCAAGAGGATACCTGCAGGACAGCAAAACTGGGAGGACACCTCAACCCTGAAGAAGAAAGTATCTGTTACAGCTAAGAGCACCATCCCAAGAGGTGGGAGCACCATCCCTAAGCCAGTGAAAACGGGTCTAGCTGAAAAAAAAGAACAATTTTATGCCAAGTCAGCAGGATCAGTTGATCAGTGCATCAGGTCAGCCACACAGCTGGCACATGGGAGGAGGCAAGAGGGCACAGAGAGCAAGAAAAGGGCCCTTTAAAGAGCATCAAACCATGAGGCTGGCCAAGGCAACCACTTGTCCTGAGCTAACCCACCACTCTCCAGTACAGGGACCATGCCCTCCTCCTCCAGGCTGGGCCTTGCTTCTTCTCCACCTGCACTGCCGGGGTGTTGACAAGCTCCTTCTGGCTGGGGCATTTACAAGCTCCTTCCATGGACAATCCAGGTTACTGAGTTGCAGAAAGCTAACCCAGGAAAAGACAAAGATCAGCTCAGCAAGATGACTGCTAACACCACAGCTGCACGTCTGGGGGTCAGACCTCTCCTTGCTGAAAGCAGCAAGCCTTACACCAGCTCAGCCATCCTACACAACTTCACCCTCTGCTGCTCACTGCACCTACCCCGGGACAACTGCTGCAGCACCAGGACCGACATGGCCCAGCAGTGACACAGCCCAGGGAGCCACATGGCAGAACACCACTTGTGTTAGGGTCTGCGGGGCCACTGTGAGCTCTCCACAGTTAAGACATATACAAGGGCCACAGTAAGGAGCCCCAGGAGCATGTGGTATCCAGTGGCTCCCTCCAGCTCTCGGGTCCCAGCATGTCGCCCAGGGACAGGATCCTGGACATGGAAAAACCACGAGGCTGCACTGCTGCCAGCGGCAGCAATTCTGGGGAATTTCCTAGCATGCATCAAGCCTGGCTCCCAGAAACCAGCGCTACCAGGCTGAGGTGACCTTGAGCAGGACATAGCATTTGGGAAAACAGGGTGCATTCCTAGGGTGCCTTACATTGCTTGCACCCCAATTAATAACTTAGAAGCTACCATCAGGCAAGAAGCTCCAGCTTTGATTCAGGCCATGGTTTCAAGGCACATCTGCCCATCTGAGCAGGGCACCACTGACAGAAGAGGGAGGCCCCCACTGCCTCCTCACACACCAAACAAAGCCACACCACTCACGTTGCCCTGTTTCCTCCTCATCAGACACCCAGGACATCTCACAAACCATGCACAAGAGCCCAGGAGCTTTCTGCTGGTCCCTAGGCGATCAGTTCACAGGTGCAGCAGACACTCCCAAGAGGAAGGGAGCAGGCCAGCCTGGCCAGGGGACTTGGTCCATCTCCACTGGACAATGTTGCAAAGCAGATCAGCTCAGATGCTCATGAAAAATGCAATGGCAAAGAAAGCAGTAACATCAAATATATACAACCATCTTTCCCACTGGCAAGCTAAAATTTTATCCCAGAAAAGGTGAAGATGACACAGTTTAAGCCAATGGATAAGTGCAAAGAGATACCCAGATGGAAAAAGACACTAGACTGGGAAGTGCACGTACCTAGTGTATTCACGCAGGTTAATACATTAACTTTCCATCCAGCAGCACCTTAGTAGTTTTCTCCAACTTATTCAATCTCAAAGAAGTAGTCCTAAACACACAGGTTCTTCAGGGCGATCTTCTATTTTTCATGGCTTAAGCACGGTCACAGTCCTCTGCAAATCGGGTTTAAGGTACAGAGCTCTCAGACTGCACAAACATCGTAAGAACAAACATTTTCAGCATACCAAGAGCTCAGATACACTAGGTCAATCCAACTGTGTTTATTTGTATTTCGCCTAAATCACTGCTGAAGTACTTGGAGCTCAAGGAGCAACAGCCTCCCACTGATTCAGCAAGAGACTAGAAGTAATTGGTAGACAGTCTACAAGCACCACAAAGAATGCCAGAGGCATTTATTTACATGACCCCTGTTTGCCAAGGAGAATTCAGAGTTCGCATTTTCTTCACTCAAATTAATCATTACTAGAATTAAATCCTCCATACTACTCCTCAGCTAACAGGAGTAAAGGCACAAACTATCCAAAATCATACCCACAATTAAACTTTTCAGATGGCTGTCATTGCTGAAATGAGACAGACTATTTCACTCCCATCAGCTGGAGTTCCTCCCCAAGCTGGCACATCACCCTGGTATCTCTCCAGGACAATCTCTCGTTATCTCTCCAAGGGACAGAGAAAAGGCAAGGAAATACTGTTCCCACCGTTGAACAACTCCCCTCCTGCCAGGGCAGGACCATCACACCTTCTCTGTTAGACTGACAACATGCTGCATCACAGGCCTGTGCTGCAGACCTGGCTGCTGCAACCACAGAGTCCTCTTCCCCATCAGACCCGAGCTGGACTGCTGGGCTTCAGTGCAAAGCACCAAATCACCTCTCAGGCTTGTCAGCTGGCATGCTCGCACAAGCCAGGACACAGCAGCACTCCCTCCAATGTTACCCCCTCACTGCCAGAGTACAGCTGGACCGACAAGAGACACGCAATAATTCCTCCAGACCAGCCGTCCATGGAAGACAAGTTACGGTCAGAGATTTGAGCCAATTCTAACCATGCACTTTGCAGCTGAAGCTGGCAAAAGGTCTCACTCTACCTGTCACACATCCTCCTTCCTGTCTCGCAGCAGCTGAGCCCAGCACACCAGGCAAAGAGGTGAGAGGAGAAAGAAGTAGATAAGCAGCGCTTGAGCTAGCACTGAGTACCAGCCATTTCTAAAAGCAGAGAAGTGCTCAGGGTTAACAAATCCCATACAAAACCTACTGGTACGCAGCGAGGCGCAGAACATCTTTACTGATACAAGCCTCACAGTTTTTGCCAATTCTCCAGGCCCAGTATCAGCATTTAAGCAAAATTTACTACTCAGTTTACACAATGCTGAAAGAAATGGGTATTTTTAAGCTAGCATGTGCTGTCAACATCATCTAGTTATTCAAGAATTCGTGCCAGCTCCCAAAGAAGTGAGCACAAACTCCTGCAGCAAGAAGATGACACGACCTGGAATCAGCCAGGCTCTTTGCTCATTACTCCTTTGAGTAAACAGTGGTGTTCTCAGCACTTCAGCTAGCTCTCAAGCTTCTCCTGTTGGCATACTACCCTATATTTAGGATAGAAGAGTGCAATGACAAGCATCGTGAAGAATAAGTGGTTTAGGATGCTTGGTACAGCAGCAGACTGTGCAAAGAAACCTATGAATTAGAAACTCTTAAAGAGAGAAAAGGAATCTGTAAAGCTAAAGATGTGAAGAGACAGCATTCCACATAGAAAGTTAAATAACAAACTTTGGTGGGAACAGTATTCCCAAGGCAAGAGACTCTAGTAGCCATCGCATAACAGCAGTGGGCAGTGGAAAGAAGCCCCTGCCTGGAGAGGCTGAGAGAAGGTAAGTGAATGCTTGTTTTTTTCATGCAAAAAGAGGATTTTAAAACTCTTTTTGGACATATAAACAACGTCAGTGCCATCTTCCCCAGCCTCAGAGCCCAAAGCTTCAGGACCAAAGGAGGCACAGCACCTCAGGGAATGCCCATGCACCCTGCTGCCCAGCTCCCAGGTCCCCCAGCCTGCACCTTCCCACCCTGAGCATTGAAACCAGGTTAAGCTCTAAAAGGACAGACTGAGAGTTTGCAACCTGCAAGCCTGTGGCAAAACTTGCTAAATTCACACTCACTGACTTGAAGGGTGCTGGAGACTCGGGAGAAGCCGCTCCGCAGCCTGTTGCTTCTGAGGAGCCAAGGAGGCCACAAAGAATATTCTGCACTTACGCCTTTTTGTGCAGCACAACAATTTACTTGCATTTAGTCACCCACACCGCTGACTAAAGATAAAAGTTTGACTGCGGGTCTGTTAAGCTCGGAACAGCCTCTGCTGTTAGTCAGGCTCGCAGCGACCAGACCCAAGGTCAGCCCGCGGAGCCCCCGGGGGCCGCTGACGGGTCGGCCTGTCCCGCAGCGTGGCTGCACTGCCACCCCCGCCCGGGGCTGCGAGGGAGCGTACCCGGAACGCACTGAACTCCGCCGGGCTACCTGGAAACCCACCTGCGCTCCCGTGGAGCCAAGC